AGATTGTGGGAACTGCCATTGATATCAAAGACCCGCACGGCTATCATGTACAAGCCCTTAACCCACCAAAGGATGATTGCCAGGGTCGATGTATGACAAATGCCGCCCCTCTACACATTCAAGAAAGCTGACAATTTACATATCACAATGAGAGGACAGAAGTTTACGATACACGATATCTGGCCTCTGGGTTGTATCCTGCTCGGGAAGCCCACATGGAAACAACAGAAGTAGAACTCCTCCACGATGGAGACGGTCTTCAGCAAAGAACAGCTTCATCCACGAGGGGAAAGTATTCGGAGGATATAGGGACGATGGAATCAAAGCCGGCCTTGCTCCCAAAAGATAACAGCCAAGAGCAGCTTTGTAAGGAAGGACATCAAAAATATTCGACCTTTTCAGATGACAAGGTCAAAGACAAGACTTCGAATTCAAAAAGAAGGGCCGATGACACCAAGGCACCTCATAAAAGGAGTCGTACCTCCGTGACAACCGATACCGATAAGAGGCTTGAGACATTTGCGTGTCCCTACTACAGAAAGGAACCCGAACGCTATCTTGATTGTCTTAACCTGAAGATGCTTCGAATATCGGATGTCAAGCAACATTTGAAAAGGCGGCATACCTTCAATTACTCGTGCACCAGATGCTTTGAGGGCTTCTTATCATCGAATACATATGAGGAACATGTACTATTAAAGTCTTGTCCGATTACTGAGTGCAATAACAACTATGGCCTTTCACCTGTTGCGCAACAAGCACTCAAGGACCGCGTTGATAGAAGTTCCTCTCCTGAACGACAGTGGCATGAAATATCTAGGATACTATTTGGAAAGCTCGGGCTTTCGCTGAATCCCTATCAAGATGGTGTTTTCAAGGAGATAACAGGAATCATCCGTGGGATATGGAAGAGCGAAGAGCAGGGTATTATCTCTAGTTTGAGGGAAACACAGAATGTACCTTGCGCTACTCAATTGCGCCCGCTGCTGTTCGAAATCCTTGCGAAAGTCGAAGATTGCTTTGAACAAAAAGAGAAGAAGTCTCCTGAACGAAATCCGGCTGAGAGATCCGAGAGCATTGAATATACGGCGACAAAACTAAGGGATGAAGGAAAGTCGGAGCATGATTGCAAGCCTCCGGGGTTTAGCACTATCAAGAACAACAATGGATCTTATAATCCAATGCAAGACTGGCCTTATTCAGCCAGTCTCGACACATCCAATAGCATCTTCAACTACAGTATGCTCCCTGATTATCAGAATCAGCAGGTTGGATGCCCGTTTATGAATCTCTCAGTGCACCATCCTGAAGATGAAATAAATTGGCATTCTATAGGCCCAAATTCCATTACTTCAATGGAGAATGTTGTGGCACATCAAGTTTCTATGGAGAACTTTGCGTTCACAGAAGACGATCTCCATTCAGCTCAGATGCCTGACATGTTTGACTAAGTGCTTGATGAAACGTATATCACACAATCTGAAGAGGTATTCGTCACTCTGGAGGATGGCGAAGTTTGAAGCAGATTGAATATTCTGAGATGCATCATTGGTTTGGTGGCTACAGTAGGGGGTTCGTCATTCATTTCATGCTGGCCGGCATCTCGGGCATGTTTCTGACGGGGTATTGTGACGAGAAGCATCTAATATGGACAACTACCGGTTTGGACTCGTTTGTATGGTGGGCATCTTGAGCTTTAATATGACTCAGTCACGTCTAGGCAAAACTTTCGTTATATTCCAGAATTACAGGACAATGTAGTACTCCCAGTTAGATACGCAATCCAAACATCTACAGTAACGAACTTAGGTTACAACTCTTTTAGTTGATGGCAATCTCACATCATGCCTGTTAAAATTAAGATTCTGAATACCAGTTGCCGTAGCAGTAATTTCTGACTCTTGCATAGTCTTGTACCATGCTAAAATGCTAGTTGAGCGTTTCCCCATACTCTACATTGGTGCATCTCGCCGCCACGGTTTCACTTCCCAACTATATCCACTTCAAGGTTGTTACTAGAATGAAAACCGGAACTCCAGGGCTTGAAAAGAACCTTGTGGAATTAGACAGTAAAAGTGCATTTACTTATTGACGTAATTTAGAGAAACTATATACTTCGTTATTGTGACAGCCAGCCCCAAGCTCAGTCACCCCGGAGCAAGCGCAGTCCGGGAACATGTCCGCTCGTTCATGACACCAGTCAATAGGTCCTTCAGAACCCTTTGGTACAGCATATCGGTAAGCTTCGTGGAATTCTCTTGTGATATTCTCCGATCTTCCAGAAACAGTGCAATATATTTAAGTCCATTAGAGTTCCAGAAGTCACGCATCATGGAGATGCTCAACCCGGGGTCTCGATCTAGAAGCCATGACTGAGGCTCCATTGTATCGGGAAATACAATAGACCAAATTCGAAACCAAAGTGCCTGTTGATCGATACATTGAGATTCTATGTCAACATCAAACAACTTCACCTTCTGACTCTCTGATAGCCCAAATATCTGGCTCGGAACGCGCTTCTGGCACTTTTCCTCCAAAACGTGATCATCGCGGCTGATTTGACTTTCAAAAGTCTCGTAACAGTGCGGGCAGTATAATAGGCGTGAATGACACTGGAACAAATGCTCGACCAGATCCTCGATATTTCGAAGATCGCCTGTAAGCAGACACTCTCGACATTGTTCATGATCATAAACATAAAAGGGACAAGCGAGATATAAAAATACTGCCGAGGAACTTGGACGGGATGATGACACCAATCCCTCTCTGACGAGGTCATACTCATCACCTGTCTGTTTGTGCGTCGCTGGTTGTATAAATGAAGGTCCGAAGCGTTCTGAGAAACTGGTTTCATCCTTTATTGGTGAGATGCGTTCCAACCTTTCCTTCCAAATCCTGAACTTTTCAAACGTGTATGTCGTGAGCTCCAGTACCAGGGTCCGAAACCACTCGCTCGCTGCAAGCTCTTGTTCCCACGGTTGGATATCATCAACGGCATCCCCATCTTCTGTGTCTTCTAGAGATAAACGTTGAGAGCCCATGTCATGTCCGGGGTACAAGGGTGCGACACATCCGGGTACAGGCGCATTAGGTTGATGATCAGCCCATGGATCACATTGGCCAGTGTTGACTTGCTTGACCTCTCTGGCATCCAATGAGGGGGTTGGACTGCCATTGGGTTGGGAAGCCGTCTGACTTGTTGGAGGCTTGTGGAACTTTGTTTCTGTCATTTCTGTTGTATGTCTTCGTGTACAGGGCTTGAACTGCCGGGAAAATATAGATAATTGATTCAGTCCGCAGAGAAACATCATGAAAGACTTTTGCAAATATTTTGATACTCTCATTGCGTGGCTAAGTGATGTCCCTATTATACTTGGCCTCAAACTCTCAGCTTGGTCGTCTGGCTCCTTTGTTGAAATACACAGCACAATTGTGTAGATTCTTGAGATTGAACCAATCACGCTGACTTTCGAGTAGGTTGTCATGCAATAATACGCAGCTCAGACGCCACCTGTGTGACTTGAGCCAATAACGTTGGGTCATTCTCGTGCCATCACGAGCTAGGTACGCAATCGCGGAAAGCTTACACCGGAACTTTCGATTGGCGACCAGATGGTTGAAAGAGGCTAAATAGAGGTTGAAATGCAGTCCCTTCTTCAGGAACTATACCTTGGCTATCAGCTGTTTCTGGAGTCGGCTATCTGCTCACTGGAATGAATGTCAATTGGAATAGAAATCATCATGACTACAGGACCGTATTGAGCTACGCAAATGCGGAGCTGGTGTTGCGTGGATATCATTATCCACCATTTGTACTTGGCAGTTGGGTTGAAATGACGCACTCACCCTCTCGGGAGGGGTTGCTTCATGCCAGTATGTCGTGCAGAAATGCAGGTTTGAGGCCTTCTTTCAACGCTTCCATGGAAGGCCCAAAAAGGTCAGCCGGCGTTAAATGAGAATGGCTTACACGTCCAATTGCTTAGGACTAGCGACTCTTGCAAACACGGGAACTCTAAGCTGTCAGCTATGCACACGTGGAGCACTGAGGAACCTTCCAAGGCGGATGATCCCCGAAAGAGGTGTTTCAAGCCAGCTAAATATAAGCAATGTCTTATGCTCAACTGGCCTCATTTGTACCCAAGGCCATGGCCAACCGTGCATTGAATCAACTTGAAACCTCTTGGAAGACCTTTTGGGGTACATTCATCACTCAATGCCTGAACATTCACGAGCAGTCATCCCATTACGCCATATAATTTGTGGCATTTCGTGAGTTGTGGATGATGGCCTCGCTAAATCTAACACCTAATGGAATTTCCCTTCCATTCAAGTGATGCATAGAATCCGATGAGCTGAATGTGGTTATTCGCTTGGGGCCCAACAGCAGCTGGTTATGTTTAGTGCCCAATTGCTCTGTTCCTACTATTTCTTCTCCCAATCTCATGATTATATTCTAGATGGGCATTTTTAGTGGAGCATTTCAATCTCATCAATCCTCGAGTTTCATAAGACCATTGCATCAAGGGCTGCCTTCCATAGCTACCTTAAGTACCTTATTCACCATACTCTCTGTGCTGATAAGTTGACGAAGAGCTGTTGCTCATCGGTATTCACGTCGTGTTCTCGGGCATTGTAGCCGGCCTCATGCATTGGATATAAGCTCATAGTCATCACTCTAGACTTGACTATTGGTAAAAGAAGGAAGAGCAGACTTTACTAAAAGTCACTCTATATCAGTGCTCTAAACTTATCCCTACAATGCATGTCTTTATTAATTTCTCCTTTATTAATCTCCTTAATAGTATCTTTTGATATAAAATACATATACTAAATAATACAGTTATATTACCGTCAGAAAATGATAATGGCTAGAATGCAAGTATATAGATATCCTGAGTTCAATAAACTGTTGATAAAAGCTTTCACACAATATCACATTAAACTTCTAATAGCCACCTGAAACAGTCAATGATGTTTTAAATGGTCCGCCACGTATGCTGTCAATTTGTGAATAGCGACATGATCATTCTCTGGAACTCGTCTCGACCTGGACTCTCCAACGCTTGACGGACACGATTTCCTTGACGAGTGCCTGGGCTCAGGGGGCTGTTTGCCTCTGCTGTCATGTTAATCTGGTACTCAACATGCATCCCCTTCGTCCATTGCCCCAAGCTCTCCACGCGGAGGTCCTTAGGCGCTGATATGTTCCAGAAGTCCCTTCCGAGCGCATACCAGACGGGTACCGGATCGTGTAGCGTGATACACTCTTCATTGGTGCCTGGCAGAAAGATGCAGTCTTTATCACAGTTGTCATGTATGCCTTTCATAAAGGTATAAGCCAGCGTTGAGAGGGGGCTCCCAGCATCAGCTAGGGGCTTTACTGTATTAAGAAAGGTATTGTAGGTGATGCAGTGACTGTTTGTGAGGTCCATGGGAAAGATTGTAACATTCAATTGCTTCGAGAGTCGATCTGGGTAAGCTGGGAGCGGTACTTTGCTGAAATCAGTTGTTGGAAATGTAGATGCCAGGTTTGCGCTAGTCAGGGTATACGTTCGCGCGGCTGCCGCTGCATCATTGTATGCATTGGCTTCCGATACGGGCGATATGTTGCCTGGCACAGATATAGCACCACCCATAATCAGAAGCTCCTTAGCGCGCAAAAAGGTCTCTGGGTCTTCTGCAGCGGCCAGAGCCATGTTTGTGAGAGGGCCAAGAGCAATGAGGGTGATGGTGTTTGCGGGCTCGTCCCTAAGAATACGAAGAATATCGAGGTGAGATGGCGCGCGCGAGGCATTGAAGTACTGATAAAACTCGGGCTGGTTATCTGGAGGGGGGACGCTGTCATCAAAGAGCGATTTCCAAGAGTCGTCAGGTGTGAACTCCGGGTACTTGAGCCATTGTTAGAGAATGAAGGACGAAGAAGTCAAGCGAAATAAGCTTACCAATGCATGGAAGTTCCATAAACCGTCTTGACCGTCTAGAATATCTCATTAGCTTGAAACACGCCTTGCCAACTGGCAATCATCTTATGCTGATGTGGCTACCTACATGGACGTCCATTCGTTTTAACCACAACTGGCTGGCCTAGCGCATGACCCGATCCCAGCGACACAACCGGTTTGAAGCTTTGAAATGCTCCGTAGGAAAACCTTCTGTCTTTGCTATTTCGCCAAGCCATTTCTTTCCAAAGGATATAGAACATAGCTACAACGTTCCTCAGAGACTTCTCCACGTTGACGTTCCCAAACACTGTTGTAATCGCAATGACTTGCATTATGCTGGGAGCTGCGGCCATAGCCATCAAAAGCCCTACCATGTCGTCGCCACCTGTATGCCACAAAGGGTTAGTGTTGCTTGGGTTTAAAAAAGAACCCATATTATATCATACCGACATCGGTGTCTATAATAACCTTCATAGCTGAGTGTGTAAAGTTGGAAGCCATAGCTGTTGACGGTAGATCTCCTTGTGCGACAATTGTATAAGTTTTCTCAGCTTTGGGGGAGAGGCTTCCCCACGAAGATATGCTTAGTATCAAGATAAGTAAAATCGATTCAAACTGAGTATGGATGAGAAATTGGAAAGTAAAAATGGACAAGGTTGGGAGCGGGCGGGTTTTAAACTCGCCCGCTCGATGCCCACAAACGCACAAACAGAATTGGGGCGCTTATCTACAGCTCCTATCGCATGCAACCTAACATAACTAGTAAATAAATGATGCAAGGGATTTTCTTGAATGTTGGTTCAATACGGAGCACTCAGAGCGTGGTGCGGCTCCTCTATTGATGCTTCGAATAAGTGTTAGAGTATAGTGGACCATTATAAGCTTTCAGACAGTGATAGAAATGTTCATCGTTAGATGACAAAGTTCGAGACCTGAGAAAGTCAATCATATTGAAATCTTGCAATTAGATTCCCTGATTTGGGTCATTGAGATGAACTATTGGAACTGAAGACATAGATAGATCAGTCATACTGCCTGGCTATATCTAGATACCCTACACAACAACAGCCTATGACCTAATAAGTGCCCCAAGTTAGTTGCGCTACCCCTCCTTGAAAGGATGTCAATTTCAAGTCTATCACGCCATTCCTGACATTTACAATGACACATGATTGGCAAATTCATCATGAGCTCCCCTCCACAGTCATCGAAACGTGTATCTCAACGCCAGCCCAAGGCCTGTCAGGAATGTACGCGACGTAAAACACGATGCGACAAGGCTATTCCCTGCGGGCGCTGCGTCCGTCTCTCCAAACCTTGCTCTCGCGAGGTTGTTCGTGTCAGCAAAATTGAGAGAAACCATCGGTCGGAACTCACATTCCTACATAAACTGTCTGAGAGCCTGAAGACGTCCGGAGACGTCGAAAGTGCCTTGGCCACTATTCGTGAGCGCAGGTCACTGTTGCTACAGGGAGCTAGCCCCTCGACGATCGACAACAGCCCGACATCTTCGTCAGCACGCATCGAGCATGATGGGCTGCCGCGTGATGAAGTTTCCAGTAGTGCTATTTCTCCGGAGGCATTACCAGAGTCTATGCAGCCACTTGGCGAGGGTACCTGGGAGCACGATACTGACATTACGCCAGATTCTCCACTGACTCAGAGCAGAGAATCCAGGAGACACCAACATGCCGTTGACTTTCTGAGAATCGAATTGCTAGCCTGGGGCAGAAGTGGGGGAAGCTGCTTTCCTCATATCGACTGCCAATGCCGCTCCGTGAGGCCATACCCTGAGATCGCCAGCATCACAGCCAACCCCCATTGGTCAGGGTACAGATATGTCCGACCTAACCTAGCCCTAAAGCCGAGTTCCCTAACAAATGAACTGGCAAGATCACTAGTAGGCTTTCATTTGGGCAATATCCTTTGGCATCACAATGTGTTCCACGCTCCCACGTTCCTGTCGCAATGTGAACACTTTTGGACAACTGGAACTGTCATGCATTCGCTTTGGCTTTCACTTTACTATGCTGTGACTGCAGTAAGTCTGACCTCAAATGCCCAGCGCAGGAGCATCACTAACTGTTATCTCTGAAAGGTCTCGGCATGGACAGCTCTCAATTGCGTTGGTTTATGGACTGGCCCAACGTTTGATCGTGATCTGCCACTGCAGCTGTTTCGTGCCATGGTCGACCAACTATATCAGGAAGACTTTGCCGAAAACCACTCAAGTACGTTGGTATAGAAGCCCCTGGGGCCTCTTGTGAGGCCATTACTTTTAGCTTCCGGAACGGTGAATTCTAAATATCTTACAGTATTTTCGATACAGGCCATCGTACTGTCCACACGCGTGGCACATAATCTTGGCCGCAGCGACTGGAATGCTACGCTTCTTGGAGCTGCCATACGTATGGCGCATTGCATGGGCCTTCACAACATACGAAATACAACCGAGAACCCTTCAGCTGCCACGGCAGAAGGTTGGTTTCAATGCATCGAGACAGAGGTTGGCCGGCGATGCTGGAATCAACTCGTCATCCAAGACTATTTCCAGGTTCCATTTACAGAAACCTACGGTAAGGCTAGATCCCCTACTTGCGGGTTACCATTGAGAATTAATCTGAACTCTTAGCTATTAATCCATCTCAATTCACCACAGAGCTACCAATAAATTGCCACGACGAAGACATGATCTTCCAGAATGACACAGCGTTGACCATCAATAGCTATCCACGGGTATTGGTTCGGATGGCCCTACTTATGCCACAACTTCTTGACTCTCTAAGTTCCACTCTGCCTCGGCGTTCTTTGGCTGAGACCTATAAACTCGTCGCATCCAGCTACTCTGCACTCCGTGATATTGTACGGCATCTGCCACCATACTTCACGCAGACCCCTCCGCCAGAAAGTGGCACTGGCGAATACATGCCCGCATGGCTGCCTTTTGCTAGACGTAGTCTCGCTCTAAGCGCCGCTGACAAGGTCATGATTCACCGTCCGGTTCTATATCATGCTTTCCAAGTGCCAGCACTAACAAAGGCCCGAAAGTCATGCGTGGCAGCGGCGAAGACGATATTCAAGGAATACGAGTCTATTTCACAAGAGGGGGTTATTCCAATTTGGACACACTCGGCATTCTGCGTCACGGCTACCATCGTCATTGGGTTGGAGCTGTTATTCCGCGAAGCTCACACAGACGACGAGGCGAGCTCTTTGCGCTCCATTATGAACCGTACCGCTCAAAGTCTCCGGAGCAGAAAAAGTGATATCATCGCCGCTCGGTGTGCTGCTTTGATAGAAACTATCCTGCTGGTAGAAGAGGAACTCGTTGTCAGCCTTATGCGCCTATCCTTTGATGGAATCACAGCGCAACTGCCTTCGGCGCAGATCGGTATAATAAACAGGATGGTAGGAGGGAACGAAATCATGGCCAAGTTTCTGGCTTATCGACCTAGCAATATTGACTTTGGCAGTGCGCAAAGTGAGTCATGGTACACGGATAACAACTTTGTGATGGACCTTTTACAAGAAGACCAGTTTATTACAAATATGGATGAAAACGGGTTTATTTACCCAAACGATGGCGACTTTGCGTTTATGTATGCCACCTGAATAGTTAGCGAATAGAGTCGAGAGACTTGGCTTGAATGATATGTTGGAATTCTGCCTCTATGAAACATTCGTATACTTCTCTACACACTGGTCTACCTCCAACATAAGCTCTGACTTGCGCTTCTTGCCAAACCAGCTTCCGTGGATTGAGTTCTCCGCGATAGTTTTCCATTCCGATATGCTAAATTCGAACGCATCCTGAACTGCACAGTAGTTATTCAGAATGTAACCTTGAAAATAGGCTGGATCATCGCTATTGAGACTGAAACGAACCCCAGACTTGATGAATTCCCTCAACGGTAGCTGACCTACGTCCTGCATTACCTGAAGACAGACATTGCTCAGAGGGCAGATTGTCAAAAGAACACCCTCGGTCACGGCCCGACGCATGAGAGCTTCATCTTCGATAAGTCGAATGCCGTGATCGATACGCTCAGCGTGTAGTCCGTCAAGAGCACCGCTAATGTATGTAGGGTCACCCTCTTCGCCTCCATGAGCCGTGCGGTGAACACCCAACTTTTCGGCCTCAAGAAATATCTCGGCAAATAGCTCCGGGTGAAACCCAACTTCAGACGAGTCCAACCCGAGACCAGATATAACAGGCTCCCCGTTCGAGCTGGCGCTTGGCCTGAAGCACTGAAGTTCCACAGCTGTTCTCATCGTCTCGGCTGCTGAACTGACTGGCAAATGTCTCAAGAAACACATGATGAGGCGGGTCGTAATGCCAAGTTCACCCTCAGCCCTATCGCACGCAGCGCGGAAACCAGAAACCACCGTCTTGAATGGCACACCACGACTTGTGTGCGATTGAGGGTCAAAGAAAACCTCAGCGTGTCGGACGCCATCACGATGGGCTGCTGTGAAATACTCCCAGCCCAGCATCTCGAAATCGTCCTGGGTTAAGAGTGCAGCCATGGCGCGGTAGTGGCATTGAAGAAAGTCCTCGAGATTGTCAAAGTGCTCATATCGTTTGGCGAGGGCTTCCGGAGACGCATAGGAGGGATCGTCTCTAGGGAGCGTGATTCCGTTCTTGGCTGCCAGTTTGAAGAGAAGAGCTGGTGTGAGACAGCCCTCAAGATGGAGGTGATGCTCGCATTTAGGCAGCTCTGTGAGGAATGAGTGGAGGTTGGATGATTTGCACATGATTGCGAATTAGACAGTAACGTAACGATCAAGGCCGTTTAGTCAGGCATTAACCTTACGAAATATTGCGCGCTTCAGTCGTGCGGTGATATCAATACTAATACGAAAGAACTATTAGAATCAGATTTTCTCGTTAGACTTGACAGTGAAGTGGAAAGGTAGCGGCAATGTCCGATCATGTCGTGATGGCGCTGGCGCGTTTTGCGGCGGGTGAGCTCTGAACTCGTCCGCCCCGAATATGCGAGCCCACGATCGACGTGCACTTCCGGAGGCTCGTCGACTCTGCCATTGATACGACAGTCGAATTTGTGCAAATTATGCTAGTTGTGAGTGATTTAATTTAGGTACTTAATGCATTGCGCTGAAACGGTGAGTTCGCTCTATTGCGGCCGTTCGATGTTTTCGTAATCACGACTAGCCTGTCGAGTCTTTCGCGGTTTGCAAGCCCTACCTCTTCATAACGGCCGATTTCTCGCTCACGTGGTCAAGATCAGTAAGCTTGCAAGTAATTGTCTTGTGCTTTCCAGAAAATACAGGCTCTCTTCCATTCGACCTTTCCATCATCAGCCCCTTCTAGGCTATCAACATCATGGCAACTTCAGGCGAACAGAGAGAGCATGACGAGAACCACTTCTTCCCCAATGAAGATACCCCCTTACTTAGAGACCAGGATATCTCAACTGTGAGTACCGCGGGAGCTGAAGAATCGCTAATTGCTGTGTCCCTTTGGCAAAAGCCGAAGTACTTCATTCTGATAGAGACTGGTGAGTCATCTTGATTACTGACATCTCTTCGTAATTTGTTGAACCCTGAAGTTACTGATCTAACATGCAATTTCAGCCATTTTTACCAATGTCTTCCTCGCAGGTTTTGATGGAACAGTAACTGCTTCTACCTATGCTGTGATCAGCTCCGACCTACAGCAATCCAACCTCGCCTCATGGATAACTACATCATACCTCTTGACAAGTACGGCCATCCAACCACTTTACGGGCGTTTCTCGGATATTTTCGGTCGGCGCGCATGTCTTCTGATGGCGACGGCTGTGTTTGGTCTTGGGTGTTTGGGATGCGCTTGCAGCACCGATATGACCACTCTCATTATGATGAGGGCTTTGGCAGGACTCGGTGGCGGAGGATTGATGACTATGAGTAAGTTTATATGCCTTGGCTCTTATATTGAGACTTGCTCTGCTGTGGGGTGCATGTGGCTAAGAAGTGTCATTGCTTAAAAACAGCAACAATCATCAATACAGACCTCATTCCCAAGAAGCAGCGAGGCATCTACCAAGCTTTCCAGAATATCCTCCATGGCTCAGGCGCTATATGCGGTACAGCCCTCGGCGGTGTGCTTTCTGACACAATCGGATGGCGCATCTGTTTCCTTGGACAAGTTCCCGTGGCCTTGGCTGGCCTGTGCCTTGCGGCAAAGGTGGTGAAGACAGAGGATGGACAGAGAGCGGATGTTGCAATTTTTTGGAACCAAACCACAAGCCAGCTGGATCTCTTGGGGGCAGCCCTTCTTTTTGCTGGTCTTGTACTGCTTCTAGCTGCCTTGACACTGGTTGTTGAGCGATCCTGGGATGATTGGCTGGTAATCATGTTGTTTGCGGTAGGTGTTGTTCTTCTGATGGCATTCATTGTACAGGAATATCGGTGCAAAGGTCTGCCAATCCTCCCGTTGGATATGATGAATGGCTATGAGAGGGTTGGGCTGTTGATCAGTAATATCTCGCTTGGCATAACAGCTTACGGTGTAAGTGTGATTTCTTCCTTAGCACCACAACATCTTTGCCAAGACAAACCTACGAAAGCTTCTAGCTGACTGAATCTGGGGTCATCCTCTAGATTTTGTTCCTCATGCCGTTCTTCTTCCAAACAGTCTTACTGGATAGAGCTTCTTCAGCAGGCCTCCGACTCGTCCCACCGTCCCTGGGCACACCCATTGGCGGACTCATAACGGGCATTGTGATGCGTCACGGTGGAGACCACCTGACATTTCTCACGCGTCTTGGACTTACTGCGATGCTCCTTTCAAATATCTTGTTGTTGATACTAGGTCTTCATGAGAAAGATTGGAAGTAGTCGGCCTACCTTACTTTGGGTAACTTTGCTCAGGGCATGGTTTACCCTAGCATATTATTTGGGTTTATCCGTACCACTGAAGAGTCAGGTAAGTTGAAGACGAATATGGCAGCTTTGTTCGCGGCTCTTTTGATTCAAGGTATGGCTAATGCTCGACACATTGTGTAACAGAACATGCCGTCGCCACATCATTAGTCTATCTTACCCGCTCCCTTGGTACTGTTTGTGGAGTGTCTTCCGTTGCAACTATAGTACAAGGCTCTATCGCCCAGAAACTGGAGGTGGCCTTTGGCGATCTACCTGGCGGCCCACAGGTATGTTACCTTTCATTCCGGACTTCCTCTAAACTTCAGGGTTATTGTTCACAGCCTAACGCTTACTCTTGGCTCTCAAGAAGTTGCTGAAATCGATATCGGAGATTCGAGACCTGGAGCCGGAGTTGAGAAACATCGCTATCAAGGTGTACTATAACTCTTGTCGGCATGGACTGTTGTTTTTGTTCCTGGTAAACACTATAGCGCTGTGCTCTACCATTCTGATACCAATGAAGCACACTTTGCCTAAGAATAAAAGGTGAGCGGGAGCTAAATAATGATCCGTCAGGTTTTTGGGGAAGGGGAGTGGTGTGCAGAATTATGCTCATCAGTATAAAGTAGACACTGTAGCTAGGTCAAGGAGCAAAGTTTCGAAAAAGCTTGCAATTTCGTTTCCAATAGAACGCCTCATTTTATCAACGAGTTCCACTTCCGTGTCATGTTTTGATGAAAAATTCGCGTTTATTGTCATTGTGTCGACAACTTGGATGTTTTGTCGCGGGATATTCAATAGGCACTATACGAATACAGATCGAATTAAGTAAAGGCTTGGCTCCTGTCGATCCTCGCAGCCATTATTTACAGCATCTTGGCCTCTCCAGTACCCGCTTATACAGACTAGCTAGAGTGCAATAATCTGATCTCACAGGTCCGCATTCAACGTTACCTGCTTCTGAGGCTTTGTTGACTCAACGGCCTCCGGTTCTAGCCAGTAAGCCAGCTCGGTGCGTATACTCTTAGAAGCCTGCAGAACTTGCCCGTCTGCACCCAAGGCTTCGACAAAGACTGGACCCATAGAGGAAGAGGCCTTGGTCAGCTTGATTACTGTTTCAAAGCCAGACTTTGGGTGGGTTTGCGTCTTTCTAATCGTTACCCAACCAATTCGCTCGCTCCAAGACACTCTCCAGGCTACCGTGTGTGTATCACCGTTCCAACTCACATAAGCATTCACTTCCCCGGCCTCACCCTCCTCAGCAAGCACCACCAACGTCTCTGGTGAGTAGCCTGTCCAGTTATAGCGGAACGCGCGATAATTTTGAAGTTTATCCTGCAGTAAGCCACTATCGAGGAACGCATGAAAGACAGACTCGCCGTTGGAAGAGTACTCGGTGATCTGACCTTCAGAGCCCCAATTGATCAAAGCATTCCCATTTGGCAAAGTCTGCAAAGACCCTTGTGATTTTGAGAGTATAGGACCCTGTGGCGGGAGGAAGGCGAGCTCAAGAGTAGCAGTGTGTGCAGCATGGTCAAGCTTGATATATTTGCCACGCGAGTATGGATATAGGTGAACCTCCTTGTCGCCACCACCAGCCGATTCCGACCCATAAACGGAGTTGTCGAAGAGCGAAATGATTTCAGTTGACTCCCCTGACCCGCCCTTTAGATAGCGTGCGTGATGCTGAAAGCCAAAGGTAACGTTATCACCAAGGGTAAAGTCGGAGAAACGCCCCCCGAGGCGCCATATAATGGACCCATCAGTGCCATTGATCTTGTAGATAGTCGAGGCGTGTCTGGCCGAGAGCAGGTAATGACCATCGTCTCCTTTGGTAATGGAATTTATGTGGAAATAGTCCCATGCCGTGGAGCTGTTGTGGCCGATTCCAGCCTGTCCCAAAGGCAGTGGTAGTGCTGTTTCGTCGGGTGAAACGTGATCTAAGCTTGCCCACTCAAACAGGACCTCTCCAGACTCGATATCCATTTCCTGGAAGCGGGCATCAACGATCCAAGTCTGCTTATCAGTACCACCGTAGCGCCTCAGATTCTTCTGCACAGGTTGGTAAATCTGAAAGAGAGCCGTAGTTTCGTTGAGGACTATGAACTCATGTTTATCCGAGAGCATATGGTTTCCAGCGCGAAGCTCACGAATATTCTGATAGTTTTGGTCGAGAAAGGTATGATGACCGTGGCCGTGCCCGTGCAAGCTGTTGTGAGCTCCCTCAAAGGAGAAAAGTACTGGCTGGCCCTTCCACCGAGCGGCTTGAAAGTTGCCAGCCCAAAATAAGAGCATTGCATCAATGGATAGCTTCAAGGCTCTCTCTTAAGGACCCTGTTCACTCTACAGTTCATCTCGATGTTCTCGTCGTTCAGCTCCTTCCTTTGGCGTGAGCAAACACCCCCCAGCTTTCTATTTCCTCTTCCTCCTCTGTCATCCATGTTCAGGAAGGAGCCTATCTTGGCCTCTGTCAACAAAACAAATCGTACCCTTGCCAGGATCTCATTCGGCATTTCTTCTTTTTCATCATCATTGCTTCGGAATACAAACCACAGAATTATTGCATCTTATTAACGCTCCCATGGCGCCTCTCAACCACCCCAGATATCCCCCTATCACGAACCCCCCAAGCTACTTGGAATGTCCCTTTCACAAATACGATAGCATCAAGTTCCACTCATGTGCCAACCGACCACTCAGCACGTTGTCGGAGTGGTTGGAACATCTCATATCGGAACACAGGGCCGCCCACGCCGACCAGGTTCCTTGGACTTGCCCAATATGCCGTCAAGAAATCAACGAGGATAGACTGAATACCCAACATAACCACCCACAATGCGTCAAAACTCGTGCAGGAGAATCCGGTATTCTGCTTAATTTCGAGATGGCTAAGTGCCTGGGGAACACTAAGGGTCAAAGTCCCGAGACAGTATGGTACAAACTTTAGGAATTCTTATACCCAAACATGGAAAGGCCAAGGACACACCTTGTGGAGATCGCGATTCCTTATCTTGAAGCAAAGACTCGAACCGCCTGGCTGGATTTGGTGCAAGCTGGTAGTCAGGGTGTTGTTCTTGAAACCATATACGCGACTTACAAGAGTAGTGGTGAAGACGGACCTGGAACCTCGCAACAGGACGTCTCAAGGCCAGCGCCAGCACCACATCCCAATACACAGTTCTGCTCTGGCGAATATCAAGGTCAACAAGATACGAATTCCCAGCAAATACCACAACAGGACCCCAGCCTGCAGTCCCCTCAAAATGAGACTCAGTCTCATCAGCAGCGCGTACAACCTCAGCAGGCTATGCCACGAGCTGCTCATTCTCACATCGCTGCTTTCGGAAAGCAACATGTTACTGGGCATGCACCACAACTGCAGCTCCCCCGTCCACAGCTCCCTGGTCATGGAACTCTAGGTCACCCGAAACTTTCCAATGACTCGCCTGAACCTAGTATGACGCCTATAGAGCGTCTTGGCACACCGGTGAGCTCGATAGGCCAGCAGAGTTTCGATACTCCCCAGTTTCAACCTGAAGAATATACTCCGGGGAATGAATTTAGCATGTCCCTCGATTCGCCATTGGGCTCTGTTAGCTCTGATGTCGCAGGAATACAGGAAGAATGTGTGGCATAGCACCCCGATTCGCCTCATGTCTCTGTTAGCTCTGAAGCTCTAAGAATACAGGAAGAAGATATAGCAGAGAACCTCGATTCGCTTTTTGGGTCTGTTAGCTCTGAGAATTCAGGAATGCAGGAAGAGCATGTGGCAGAGGAGCCTCGGCGCGAGGAAAATACGGCGGAGGACCTGATGGATTTGCTTAACAGTTCAAAACAGTAGCCCCTTACGGGGGTCCTAGGTTATCCAGGTTACAATCCAGCGTCTCCTGTCCATGATAGCAACGATTCAGTCGATGAAATAGATAGCGAATAAGAAGATATACTGTTATTGATCTGACGGGCTCTTCGCCTGGTTCAGGCTCAAGAGGGAGTAAGTTTGTGAATTAGAGCTAGAACTCGGGGGTTTCTTAGCATATTATCAGCCGCCAGTATTATTACAATACGAAACAGTTCCCTCACTTGGATTACACGATTGCACATTAGTGACTAACATGACAGAGAATATGAGGCCATTCTCAACGACTCTGCAATTTGGATCAGGCGATAAACAAGACACGTTTATTATAAACTAAAACTTCCAGCAACAGGATGCGCTTTCAGCTGGCCATTCCCCATGCAATGATGCCAATCAGTTTTCGCGACTCCATGAAGGCATCACTTTGTAGAAACAGTGTTGAGCTCGTTGAAGGAAAGCTCGGGCTGCTTATCATGATCGAGCAGCATAGCTGGATCAAAGATACAAAAGATCAGAATGGCAACTGCAATGCAAACACCATCAAGACCAATAAAGTATCCCTCAGTCTTCATCAACTTCCCATTCCAACCCTCAAGGAGTTCGACCGTTCGGTAGATGCATCGGATGTAGACAAACACGACGGACATTATGGTGGCGTAGATGACGAAGCGTTGACCCTTGGCGAGTTCAAGACCTCGTGTTCTCAAGACAAAAATTGCAAAGAGAATGCAAAAGCCAGTCATGCTGACGAGTTGGAAGATGATACCAGCGACCATAAGGTTGGCACCTGGCTTCGTGTCTTTGCCCTTGTTGGCTGCCCCTGAGGCAAGACCGCCACCGCCGGCCTGGATCAGAAGAGCCAGGACATCAACGACGAGGAAGATCCAGAGGTAAAGCTTGGGCTTGATAACAGAGTATTGAGGTCCGACAGCTTTGATGAGATATCCCAGCGTGACGTAGATGGCGGCAGCGACAAAGATGGGAGCGACGACGAGGGTAGTGATCTGAAGGAGGAAAGCAATCTTGTTGTATACGCATTTCGACGACCACGTTCGACCAATCCAGCCGATGAGTTCGATGTACGACGAAATGGTTAGCAGGTACGAAGTGGCTTTGCGCTTCTGGAACGATCGAACGATGTGATAAATCCCCGTAGCGGCAAAGATGAGACAAAAGACGATTCCAGCTGCTAGGCTGGGCACATAACCGTAGGCATTCTTAAGGCCTGGAATAAGGTCTTTACAACCGTTTAGAAGATCGCCTCGAGCGTAGGAGCCATCTGCTATCGACATTATGGCTTGGATGAAGAGTGAAGAATACGACAAAGCTGACGGTCTGAAGAAGAGCGAAAACTAGAGCCCCAGAGTCGGCCAGAATGAAGGGAAGGGCGCTGCGGAGACGGATCTGCAACAGTCCCCAGGACCAACAAGTCCCTCAGAGCTTGTGCTATTTTCCGAGTCATTCGCTGACCCAACACCGAGTCGTGTTTTATCCGCTTAGATTGCAAGCATGGAGCCTGCTATCGGGGCTGACAGGGATAGGGTGCGACGTTAGATCTTACGGTGTGGGAATAAGTATGGGGACGACATCCTTGCTACGACCACGTAAAAAGTGGCAGAGATTAGCTTTCTGACATGTCGCTGACCCCCTTGTTGGCTGTGTCACTGAGAAGCTGGGCGCCAGCAAATGCCGGCTTGTGAGACATTTCTCGTCATGCAGTCTTGGCTTTGCTGTGCAGATGAATACGAGAATTATACTTTGCTACCTGATGTGCAGGGCAGAACCCCTTGATAAAGCTCAAGGAACTAATAAGACTCTATTCACACGCTCCCTGATCTATGTTCACCAGCCCTGGACTTCCTCCACACAGACCTTCAGTCCCTTACTAGGCTTCGCCACAATCCCATCCGTGATATCCCGTACCTCGTAGTCCTTGTCAATGTCAAACTTGTATCTCCCTACCAACGCGCACGTGAGAGCCATGAGCTCAGCCAGTGAGAACTTCTGACCAATACAGCCTCGAGGACCGTGTAGAAATGTCAGGAATGCGTAATTGCTCTTTGAACCGCCTGAGTTGGCTTGGCCAGGTGCCATCCATCGCTCAGGGTTGAAGTCGTCTGCATCAGGGCCCCAGAGTTTGTGGGCTCTGTTGATGGCCCATTGACATAGAATGACCATTGTTCCTTTGGGGACGAATATTCCGAGGATTTGAGTGTCTTTGAGGGCATCGCGGACAGTGAAGGGGATGGGTGCGTAGAGCCTGAGTGATTCTTGGCAGACTGCATGGAGATAAGAGAGACTGTCAAGTTTCTTAGCGTCAACGTCGTCAGTTAGTCCATCGACATTGTGCCGAATCTCCTCTCTAAGACGATCCTGAATGTCATGGTTCTTGGCCAGAAGAAAGATTGTCCAAGTCAGCGCTGCAGCACTGGTCTCGTGCCCAGCTGCCAAAAAGGTCATCATAGTATCAACGAGTCCCTCGTCCGTAAAATGACCAGACTCAAGCGCCGTAGAGATGATATCAGGCGATAACTTCTCCTTGGCTGCCATCTGGACCTTCTTCGCATTGATAAGTCGTTGGGATGTCTCTCTCGCTGCCTTAGAAGCTGCCAAGACGCCCATGCTTCTCTGAAAGGGCAGGTAATCCGTGATAATAGAGGGAAGAACAAGCTGAAGAACCGTCAAGAGCTTGGCACCACGACTCTGCTTGACCATTGATCCATACATCTTCATGGTGTCTTCAATGCTGGGATCTGCAAGAGACTTGAACTCGTGACCCATGCCTGCAGAACCGATGATGTCCATAGAGGCTCGACTCGCCCAGTCGACAATGTCGATCTCTGAAGTTGACTCTTCTTTGAGTTCCTTTTCGATCCCGTGTACTAGCTCTTGTGCTTTGCTCCAGAAGACGGGATAGAGTTCCTTGATGTGACGGAAGCTAAATGCCGGCATCAAGTTCTTCCTTTGCATCTGAGGGTGTCAGCTTTGGTCTCATGCGAGACGGATAAGCCTACCTTGTGTACATCTCCCTCTGATAGGAGCAGTCCATAGCCCAAGATCTTACCGACCATTGCGCGGAGGAGATGAGGCTTGACATAGTCATAGCTGTTCTGGCCGAGCACCTCTTTGAGACCCTCAGGGCTTGTGACGACGAGTCTTTCTTGATTGAACAGATGTCTGCCAAGTCAGTATGAGTCTTCCATAAGAGAATCCACTCACTTGTATCTGATCAATCCATTGTTTTCAATTGTTCTTGACCAATGTCTGAACGGCAAGCCAGCAGGCTGACTGACAGACTCTGCCCAATGTCCATTGATAAAGCTCGCGCCCTGCCACAGTCAGTCATATTCTGATCCCTATCTTCTGCTACATACCTTTGGCTGTGGCAGGTGCCTCAAAGGACTAAAGAACCGATGGTATAGAAATACCAAGTAGAACGCCCAAACACCCAAGAACGCCAGCAAATACTTCCCCATATAAAACGGAGCATACCGAATAGAATAATTCTTGTCGTAGATTATTTGAGTGTAGATCGCAAAAGAAAGCGCACAAATGGCCCAGGGCCGGTAATATGACAGAAAAAGAGCAATTCGTGCCATTGTGAGAATGATGTGGATGAGGAGGAAATCTCACGGAGCTGGGTATTTTATGTGCAGGCTTACCCACTTGAGCTTTGTGCAGGGGCCTTTTTCGTGCACTCTCACTATTTGATTGGCTTACAGGCGCTTAAGAGCGTATCTTCAGTGGACACTGCACTAAATTGGGGAACGAGATCAAATTGACATCTTGATATTGCAAATCGTGTTCTATGGACTATGGTACACTAAGAGAATCCTCTCTTCCTAAATCGTAGCTTGACACCAACAGGCGGCATAACAGCTTCTGTAACCCATTGGCTCTCCGGCCGAACCCCATTGTGCTCAGGAAGCAGCTCAATATCAAACCGGCTCAAAACATGATACAATATCATCTTCATCTCAAAATCCACCAGAAACCGTCCTGGACAAGCATGTTTTCCGTGTCCAAAAGGAAGATACGTTGAAGAGGTCGATACAAATGACAACGTTGGATTAGCGTCTTTGCCATCGGGTCCAGTCCTCATATTGGAGAATCTGAAAGGGTAGAACTTGTCAGGGCTATCGTAGATATCAGGGTCCTGATGGACAGGATACGAGAGGATCGACAAGGTTGAGCCATTGGGTAGCGTATGACCATCTGGAGTCTTGAGACCACCTGGCGCAACAATCTTTCGAATCATAGCTCTGTTTCCAAAGCCATGTGTTCGCATTGATTCTCTCAGAATGCTGTCAGTTTGGATCATTTTAGAAACCGAGGATTTGTCAAAAACACCATTGCTCTCTGCAAGGACGTCTGCTATCTCCTTCCGAATAACTGCAATCGTGTTGAACTCGGCATCTGAGGCTGCGATGTTGATCAAAACATTACTGATAGCAACCGCAGTCTGATGGAAAGAGGCAAGGTTTGCAAGGCAAAGTCGATCAGAGATCTGAGACGGCGCAACTTGACTACCATGCTTGCTGATGGCATATCGCATCATCATCTGCAGATTGTCTGTCGGTTCTTCGCTCTTCTCATCAAGTCCAGGATTCAGTAGCCTTTTGGTTCTCCCCTCATAGAGAGGCTGAATATGCCTTTGAATCTTCCATCGTCTGTACCGTGTTGGCAAAGTAACAAGAAATCCAATCAGCGGTTTGAGAAGCGACGGAGTGTATATCAGCAATCCAGAGTTCAAGATGAACAAGTCTGCAAACGCAAGGGAATCTTTCAGATACTCCTTGTCGCGGCCTTGGAAATTAGCTAGCATTGAATAAAAGGATTAGGGACTCACAAAGGGGAAGGCCAACAGTGAACCGACTCGAGACCTGAGCGACAATCCACTTCATAGCCTCATAAACATCAACCTCATCACGAACCCCAGGCTTGATATACTCAGGAATTGCATACTGAAGCTCATCATCAACCGCAGCAGCCAGTATCTCAAGAAAACGGCCCATCTCCTTCTTGATGACGATACTCTGCCATGGATCTTGGATATAACTGGCATGTCCAGAGTTCCAGTCTCCCTTGTCGATTTCTCGAAACCCCTCAATTGGGCTGAGTACGGCATCTGGCTGTGAAGCGGCCCATTGGGTATGGTGATGTGCTAGATGGATTTCATCTTTGAAGCCCATGCTAGGCAACACGCAGGTTTTGCCATGTTTGGTGAACTGATTTGTTAGTAGTGTTCATTGCCTCTGGAGGAGACATACCGTCTGATAAGCTTCAAGAAAAAGCTGTCGGCAATCCGTGAGATAAGCCCAATGTAATTTGAAAGGCAAATATGAATCCCGCTTAAGTCTTTGAAGACTGGAGGACAGCTTCGGGGAACTTCTATACTGGGCCAGATAAACAACCGCCAAGAAGACGGCCACAAACAGATAAACCGCCATCACGATTGATGCTGAGAATACCTTCACGACAACGTCAAAACCGGAAAGAAAGCTTCCTACCCGAAGATGAGTACGTACTTCACCGTCAGCCCTAGCCGAAACATCGCTAGTTTAGTTTAAATTTAGCCAACGTTAGCTTCACCCTCAAAACAGTCGGCCACGCCACAACCGCATTCCCTGCTCCACCATGGGGCGTCTACAGTAATTATGCCTCTAGCTCTGCTCCATAGTAAGCTTCCATCAGACGCTGTGACATTCACGGCCAGCAAAAACATCTATAGATACTTGTTCCAATCTCATGCTGTGCAAGGAACATTCGGCCCACCATCACAATGTCAGCAACTTCAGACGTAAAGATCATAGTCGTACGTTTCTCCTCACCGTGGATGTCAATTACTAACGTCTCAGGCCGGTCTTCCGCGCACATCTACTACAAGTCTCAAGAAAGGTCTCGAGATTCTTGGTGTGACTCCTTGTTTTCACCTTGGAGATCCTCCTGCGCCAATCTCTCGCGTCAAAGAAAGTGCAAGAGTACTAGCGATCCAAGACCGCAATGAGAGACTCAAGGCGTTGAGGAAGCTGTATGATGGCTTCGAAGCTGTCTTTGAACCGCCTGCTAGCGCTCTTGTCGATGACATGCTGACAATCTACCCCAACGCAAAGGTACGAATCATCTTCTCTCAATTGAAGCTTACTTACAATTTTTAGGTCATCCTCTCCGTCCGCAAAAACCCGCAGGTCTGGCTCGCGTCTTACTACAGCCTGGGTATTGATCTCCGCTCAAAGTGGTACCGCATTCTAGGCTACTGGATCCCCGGCGTGATTCACTCCAGCGACCTTAT